ATATATATATATATATATATAATCATTTAACACTGGCCCCTTGAAGTTAAAAAGCTGATCCATACTATTTGACAGTTCTACCTGTTGCTTGATTATTATCAAGAATAGTCCTTGAATCACATTGACTTCAGATGCCCAAAATGCTTTATTATATACAAACGACCTTGGGTTTCTCCACCCATAATGTCATATCCCTTTCTTTCACGCCTCTCTATAAACCACGACTTCTGCCAGACAGTATCTTTCAGCAACCTATATTGCTATCTCCAGATAAAGACACTCCATAATGGCTTTTAGTAGACGAATTCATGTAGTTAAAGTGGATTGATGTTATAATCCTTTAGTTTTGTTGTATGGTCATTGTTGATCGATTGGATAGCCTTAGAACTCTAAAATTTAACATCAAATCACAAATTCATCGAAATGAGGGGTTCTTAATATGGATTATTGCTTTTCTACTGTATATAGTTAGTTTGAGCTTAGGGGATCGTTTTGACATTGTTTATATGCATAACTGAATGTTTAAAATTTTCAGAACTCAAATGATAAGAAAGTCATTAAATTTGAATATTATAAAAGAAATTAATTTTGGAACTATCTCTGAAATAATTATTAACGAAATACGGTGAGAAATTATAATTCAATGCGAGTCAAAATTAGCCATAATTGGGATTAATTTGCAATCAATAGAAAGGTCGATGCGTATTTAGCACTATACAAAAAGTGACAAAACAATTGAGTATTTCCTTTTTTATTGAAATAGACATTGAAACGCACATGATCTCAAAAGGCTCTTAAAGCATTTCGGACATGGATTATCACATTTGACTAAAGGGTTTACGAACCAAATCAAAGAACTATTTGTTCCGTCAAATTCTAATTGATTAATATTCGCCTATAGTACTATTCTAATTAAGTTGCATTAAAGAGTACTAATCTAATAGTAAAATTTTTCCAAAGTGGACTCAATTAGTGCTAGGTTTCAATCGATTCTTCCGGTTTGATTAAATTGTTCTTCGAATTTCTCTACCTTGGTTTGGAGGTATTAATACTATTTCTTCTAGCTACCATTAAGTTAACGCATCTAAGTCTTTTGTCTTATAAAGTTCTTCTGTACAGTGCTTAGTAAGTTGAAGGACAACCAAAATTGGCAATTGATCCTACAGTAAACTTCCTGTCTGGCAATAGTCTAGATACTTCTTTTCTCTCTCATCAATTTCTTGGCTTCATTGTATGAAAACGATCCTCATTTTAAATCTATGCGTATCATTGGTTATTTTCGATTTCCTTGTCTAAATAGGCTTCATTCGCTTTAGCAACATTGAATTAACAGTGCAAAGTGTTTAAGGAGTTTTGGTAGTAGATAATTCACCATATTTGAGCTCATTTATATCCTAAGTCCACCGTGTTTTACACTGAGATAATCCTTACAAACAGTGTCACTTTGTTGAAAATTAGTGAATGAATTGAGGTGGACTATTCGGGGTGGTCTAAAGTTAGCTCTAGGTGGCCTAAAAATGTCGAATTTCACTTACAGAATTTTCAATTTTAACTCTTTAACGCCGGAGTTATTTATTGAAAAATGCACCCAACTGCACTCACGCGTGTCTCACAACAGACTGATGCCGTCAATGTGACTAGTTTTTGGTGGTGTGTTAGGAAAAGGCTATAGACGTATTGACCATGTTTCAAACTGCAATAGCACCTTCTGTCACAAATTTGTCACCAGCGGAGCTTATTTTTGAGAGGACAGTACGGCCCCAAGGGAGTTAAAGGATTAATACAAAGTGAAGTCTAGTGTATTACCCCTCACTCTCATTGCTACGTGCTTTGTCTTTCTTAGCGTGGGAAGAAAATTGCCTTGTTTTCCTTCGCAAAAATTTGGCGTTTAGCCTTTTAGTTGCCTTTTCTGTGACATTCGACAAGTGGCATTATCCTTTAAGTCACTCACTTTTTACACCGTTGCAAAGAGGATTATTTGGAACATTAGCAATAATGGCTGATAAAATGGGAGTTTTCCAACTTACATTTCAATAGATTCCATGGGACAATGAAATATACCTATAATTGATGCATGACATATTAGGCTCTACGTCCAACTATTCACTGAACCTATGAGCCACTTACAAGTTCTTTGATGAGTGAGCTATTTGTCTAATGTCTTTAAGCTGTTTACCTTCACCAAAGGCTCAGCAATCACAAAGAGGGAATAGAACGTTCTTTCCCGTTTCATTTATTTCGAATTGTGGTATATATATAACCTAAATTAACACATGTTCGTTTCGACTGTTGGAATAGTCAATTGAAATGTTATATGTAAGCATTTGATGTTCTAAATAGAGCTCCGGAAAGTAGCCAATTAATGTTTAAGGTAGATAATAACATTTAATATTTGAACCTGACTTATTCTATGGATATCTCAACTACCGATTTTGTCTAAGACATATTGACTAAATGATGACCTCGGAGCCGAAAAAGTATAAAGACGCCCTTATTTGTTTCATGATTTTGCTTTCCATTTATAAACCATTGATTTAGTTGCTATCCCATTGAATGGTAATACCGATGTACGCGAATAAAGTGCGATAATTCTGCTCTAAGGCCAATTTTGAGATTGGTGATATCACTTCAAACTTTGTTACGGTCGAGAATATGAGATAAAGTAATAAAATCTGTGCTTTAAATCACTCTCGATAAACCTGACTGGGCCTTATTTTAGGCCAGCATCATCCTTTCTTGAATTCAGAAAGGTTTCAACTAAGCGATCGATTGTGTGTTATATTGAAATAAACGCTGTTCAGAAAGATTACTTTAAGCACGAACTGAACGTACCTTTGAACTTCCGTTTCTCTTCTCACTTTTTGCAAGACATATTAGAAATATAATCACGTGTTGGTTCACGATTTTAAACATTCACTATATGCCAGTAGATGTTATGCTAAATTTTTATAGAAGACTAACATTATACTTCTGCTTAGTTCGCCATCATATGTTCATCGAAATGTGAAAAGGAAGACCTCTGAAATGATGGAGGGCGTTATGGAAGAAAAATTATTTGTTATAGAAAGTGCGAAGTTCTCTAGTTGGAACACCAAATTTTAATTGGTTATGTTAATCGATTAATGTTCGCATCACACGTACCATTCGGGTATAGGTACGTAAGGCTGCCGATATTACATCTACAAAATAGATATCAAATGAGTTAAAGAGTCGATTTATCCCCTGGAGCTCCTGGCTACAATTTGCTCCACTTTATCTTTTTGAATGTCTGCCATTTGAAATAAATCTTTTTGAATGCTTTAGCGGCGCGCGTCTGAGGAAATCAATTTGAAAGACAACGAGAGAAAAGTGCGCTCATTTTCGTGAATGAAGATTTGAGCTCAATTATAATTTAGATTTTTGGATCCGCGGTAGACTTACCTCCCTGGTACCTGGGCACCCTGGGCAACGTATACTCATACATTAAAAAATCATATTCGACCACTTTTACGGTATTCACTTCACCTTACCTTTTCCCTACTTTTCGTCTGTTTTACACTCTTCTGTCCCCCCCCCTCAATCCCTCAAATTTTTGTGACTTTGATGTTCCACCACACTGGGAAGCCCGAAGCCAACTAAATGGCTAATGATGACTATCATAAAGCCTGCCATTTCATAAAAATAAATAAGTAAATTATTTGCATTATCTCATGGAAGAAAGCAGATATTTAACTTAGAAAAGCATTTAGTTAAATTAAACAGATTTTCTTAAGTTTACCACAAGACAAAAAGTTTGAATTGAGTTCAGCCCAAAAAGTGTTTCCCTGAAGTTTCTTAAACTGTTCAACACTGCTTTACAGCACCAATAAAGTATGGTATGGCTCTAGATGAATAGATCTTTCGCTTGGATTTCACTCAAATGGCTGTTTTCTAAACTTCATGGAGTTAAATTGGATTCCAGGGACTTTAGACCTTTATAATGAGATATTTTTCAATCATTTGATAATGGGCTTTGGAAGACAAGATTCGTAGAAATTCAAATAGCGCAGTTAATGATTATTACTGCCTCCAATCGCTGTCGGAATCGCTTGAAACTACAGATGAAGTTTAGCCAATTTAACTGAAGATCGTAGTGGTAATGATTGAGAATACCATTCGGAGCTCTGTTATGCGTTTAGCATCCATGATTAACACTTATCGGCTCAAGGGTATAGGAAGATGTAAGTGAATCAAAGTGTCATGATTAAATACTCAAATTGGGGGGATATTTTTTGGTATTTTTGGCATTTAAATACCATACTGTAGTTCAAAACCTTTGGCATATAAATGGTCAAGGGAATGGATGCCGGCACTTATTCATATCGGAGTAGTGTCTTGAGTTTCACGCATTTCACTTACACTATTTGAAAATGCGAAAGCTAGGCCATATAATGAACAGGTTGGCTGTTTAAGCACTTACTAAAGACTGAAATTATAAATGTATTCCTGCAGAAATTTACATTCCTTTCCATTTACAGTGTTTTAGGACGAACTTCAGATTATATGGCCACTTTAAAGCCCGTAACTTCAACAGATTTCTATTTCCAGTTTTTAGAGCAAAGAGAGAAGTTTTAAGTAACTTACTATGTTACAGAGTTAGCACTATGACCTGGGTTTTGCAAGCACAAAAACGAATTCCAAAAATTTCTTGCATTTTATCAGTCTCCTTCCTTCCATTACCGAGTATCATACTTTTCAACGTGAAGTTAGTAGCATTCAGTACATGCTGTTTCAGACCATTTTACACGCTACTAGTGCGTCAGTACTGCCAGGCCAGAATGATGGGTTCACCAATCAGATGTGTACGCTAACATTATAGGCTCACGTGCGCACCAAAATGTGAGGCAGTGCGTGCAACCACAGTTACTTGCATATAAATTCGAGAGATTTGATTTCCTACCACAGTGTTGCAGTGGTACACTTGGTGTCTCTTGTTGCGACGGTCGTATTGTCTGCTGTATCAGCAATTAACTTAGATTAGGATGGCTTCAGAAAATCCTGAACCACCTTCTCCACCAAATAACAGAGAAGCAACTAATCAGTCTTCTAAGAAGAGGAGTCAGACGCAGAAACGGCTTACCGCGGCTCAGAAGGAGCGTGATAGAAGGAGAGCCATGATAGAGCAATGTCATGTCCAATCTCAATTTGGCTTGGATATAATCCTGCAAGACGGAATAACTAAAACCACCTTCACGAATTACATCGGAGAACATCAATCACAAATCTTTTATGGAGGATTTGATATTCAAAGACCCAATAGATCTAATATCCACATTGCTTTGGGTCAACCCACTCCAATAGACTTAGGGAATAGTGATAGTGGACCCGCAGTCTGCTTGGCTGTACCTACTTATATTTTCTGTCGATTTCCATCATCGGAAAAGCCGATTTCTTCGGCTACTTCTGATTTAAACAATCTTCCATCGCCCCTTTCGGGTGTCTCCCCTAGTTGTACGTCAAAAAATGGATTATGCCTTGTTACCTTTAAAATCTACTTCCCGGTCCACTTTATGGCTTCTGCTAATAAAATTAGTTCCAGAGTTCGATGCGGAAAGGAAGCGAATTTGCGATACACACCAGTAAGTTTGAAATTTTTAAAATAGTTATGCGTTTTATTTAATTCTTTAGTGTTTGCACAGATTCATGATTAGTGATGATCATATATATTAGTAATTTGTGAGGAAAGTTGATGCTTTTAAACGTGGAGAGTTACAATGTTATCAGGTGCTTTTGCTTACGAGCTTCTTGAGTTATATTAACATATATTTTTGGAAGTGACCGTGAAAGTAGGGAATAACCACTCTGAAGTCCCTTTTAGTCAATTCCAACACTCAACTTAGGTAGCGGAGTAACATTAAGGGGTCGCCCGAGGGAGAAATCGCCTTTTGCCACCCCCTCCCCCTTATCAGTTCAGCTTAATCACGAACGCACACGTTAACCACCGTACGATAGTAATAAATAACCCTCCTATGATTTGGATTTAATTTTTACATTTTTGACTAATCGAAATAAAGAAGACGTTTTTGCATATTTATCCACTAACTGGATTTTGTTACCTTGAGCTCTGATTAGATCGATTAAATCGTCTCTGTGTGTGTTGTTAAGTTCAGATTAAGGTTATTAGTTGAATTGAGGTTCAACTGTTTGAGTCACGGGAATACAGATTAAGCGAGGCCAAGCGATAATTGCGATTACAGACGGTCTTCTGATATGTGGACGCCTTCGCGTGCCGCTTATTTTAGAGTAGTGTTTACCCAACTTCGTCCCTCTTATTTTAGTTGTTTCTCAAATTTGAAGAATTATATTACCTTTACAAATTTGTCACCGACATGAGACTAGATAATAATAATAATTATAAATTCTTAAGGAAACCACTTATTTCATCTAAACTTAATATTCCTAGTTGCAAATTTAAAAACCGATGACCGGAAACGATTTAACATTTTTCAACAGGACCAAGAATTCAGTTCATGAATGTGTGAGTATTGACAAATGAGTGTATAGTGTTTGGTTCGCCTAAATACATTTATGCTCTTTTTCTATTCATTGAGCCTTTGTGTCTCCCATATCTGTTTTCCTATAAGTAAATTTGTTCACTACTTGCGGCGGTAGGGAGTGGGAGAGGCTGGGCTTCCAGTAAGCAAAACGGCGGACAGTAGTCCCGTCCGCACTCCGTGCGTGTGTGTATCCCACTATCTAGGAATAGGAGGGAAAGCAGCACCAGGCATTCTCTTTTCCCTCTCCCACTTGCTCGGTCTTTGGTCTTTGCATTATCTCAGACTTGCCTATATTTCCTACAGAAGTTGACTATGACAATGAAGAGTTGATTTTAGTAATTAATCAACAGGGGCCAGTTTTGTGCTTGTGTTGTTAGCTTAAGCTAAGATATGACTCATCATCAGAAGAGAGACCTTGCGTCTATATAATGCATGCGCGTTGTTGAATTTAACATCGAATAACTTGTGGGTCAAATCAGTGCAACCGTGAAAAGGGGCAATCAGCCATTTATAGTATGACAAGTCATTCTCATATTGAACTAAATGGTAAAGTGGCAGGTATTGAAGTTTAACCGTTTCATTCGTAATCTTTCTTTCCGTTTATACTACAAAGTAGATTTATGTGTTTTTCATCGCTCATTTTTGACCTCTTTGGTGAGAAAATCGAATTTGATCTTTATAGCTAGATCTAATCGGTATTCACTGGATACCGGTGGGTATCTAACCGCCGACTTCTGGCATTGCAAAGGTTACTTTAATCACAATGCAAATCTTTGTAAAGATGGGTCAATTCTTCATAACGATGCATTATTATTACAGCATGCTAGACTAACCATCGCTTTACTTGTTTGGCTATTTTAACGCCTTTTTAGACTTATTAGTGTCTAGTTAAACCTGCGGAATTAAAGCTTTGTCAGCATCTTTTTAAACAAAGTTATGAATGCTAAGCACTTAGAAATCTTATGTGGCTTTTAAGTACAGTGTCTTGTTTGCATTTTAGCGTCATCCTATGGGTTTGACCTTAGCAAGCTGATGTGGGTTTGAAATTAACCAATAGACGAGGAGGTGGCCCAATATACTATTTAATAACTTGCAAACAATAATCAGCTTTTCGAATCAGGAATATTAGATAGGTAGTATTTTATATGGCCTGATTGTGTTCGGTTAAATATTTAATCTACTTGAGTTTCGTTTGAGCTGAAATACCCTCTAGCTTTTGGTTGTTCAATCATTAAATTTTAAATTTTGTGATTTATTTATTTGACCTTGTACACTTCATTGACTTAATTTCGGTGGTTAAATGGAGTTTAAAGTAAGCATCCACTGTGTCACCCGAGTAAATTTAACTTCTTCAAAAGCCGCCTCTTGGCGCTGTTTCGCTCGCATTTGCTGCATTTTTTGCTATTGTAATCCAACCTAATGGAATTATCTGCCAATGTGATTAAGTTAAATCGCGATTAGGTAATTTCGTTAATTTGCGCGCTAAATTAGGATGCATCGATTTCCGATTATTACTCATCATTCGCTCCGCACTTGCCATAGTTTATTTAAATGCACTTGAATAAGCCGAGGAGGAGGAGGAGGGGGGGGGGTGTATTTTACAGAGTGGTAGATAAATAACAAATAGGCGATCTTCTTCACCCATAGGGACCACGAGGGAAATTCTTGGAGGTCGTGGCTTAATAAAATAGTGTAATTGCTTCTCTCAGTAATTGCTTGCGGTCTTGACAGCGTTCACGACTCTTGTAGGACTGAGTTTTGCATGGCGGCTCTTGTCAATCGTTGTTTCCTATCTAAGTTTCCATCCATCATATTGAACAACTGTTTTCTGAATTTGATAGTTTGTCGGTAATTTGGATGTCTGAAAATATGTTTTAGGGAGTTACTTTCATTTAATTCTATAGCGTTGTTTGTTTACCTTCACGTTTCTACACGTGAATCCTCGATTAACAGTGAGCCAATAAATTGAGGTCACTCACTGAAGCATTTGAATGTCTAAATTTTATAGGGAGAGTTGAGTTACCTTTCACCATACTATTCTATATACAACACCAACTATTTCCTCTATTCAAGCTAAATCATTGAGGTTCTTAGTAAGATTTCAATTAAAGATAACATTTTCGCCCCTTGTAGAACTTGTGCCTGGATAGTTTTAATTAATCTTCTTTGACGGTCTTTGGGTCAATCTTATCGTGCATTTCCGTAATGATCCATCACTATCTCCAAATTCGAAAAATCGGTTTCTGAATTGCTTAGTATGTCGATAACCTGACACATTCTCAAATTTTTAAATATTTAGAGATCCTTCCAAATTAGTTGCTTATCGCCTTGTTTATTTATTCTCTGCTATCTTGCAATTAACGCAATGTAGTTTTTCTTATTATTGATGTGTGCTCGATTAGAATTCCATTGAGCATTTATGCAACTTGCCATTACTTAACTGTGTAGTGCAAGGTACAAGTGGCGCGCGTGTAAACACGCGAACATGAGTAGCATTGCGCTGATAATGAAAGGCGGTGGTTTGTGCAACTCTCCTCTCACTTGCTCTTCCTTTGACTATTTAGCTTGCCTAGATACCACAAAAATACTGGGCTAGTACGTGGCACCACGAGCTAGCTAGCGAAGCTCCCATTTTAAGAAATGGAAAGTTAATAATTGAAGTTTGTGATTTCGTCTGTAAATCTACTATTGGAGTTCCTTATAGCCTCGTGTTTTCAATTCAGTGTCGCTATTTGGAAGCCCTCAAGGCTTAAACACTCAATTTCGTTATCATTTTAAAACTTTTTGATTGCAACTATTGGAATTAACACGAATGTAAAAAGTAATAATATATGCATATAACTATCTAGCTTAACTAAGGCTAGTTGGTGTTATAAAACTCTTTAAATTAGAGGCCGCTATGTCACTCACATGTTTCGTTCCAATTTAAAAATAAGTGCTTTCTGCTACTTTATTATGGTGCAATCAGCCCCATTTATCCATAGCTACCACAAAGCTAAAATGATGCCAGCTTTTTAATAGAATGTGAATCTGTTCCATTGTCGCTTATTTGTAGAATGTCCGAGCAAACTTGATTACATATTTGAGTAACGTCGAGTTCTTAAGCACATCCTTTTGTTGAATACTCCTTTCCTATATTAGTCTTCAAGAAATTTGAAGTTTTACTATTTGTAAAATATATGTGGCAGCTTTTTTCTAATTAGTATTCACCACATTTCGTACAATTTAAGACTTATCGCTTTTCATTTGAGTTGATCAATTCCATATATAGTTCACCTCCATCTTCTCTAAATTTAGGGCACATACAAGTTATGTATCAGTTTATTCGACTAGTGTGGCTCTATAGATAAGCAGGGTATTTATTTGTAGTCAATTCAAGTAATTCTCAATTGGAGGAGGCGCATATAGGTAAGGGAGAAGGAAATGATAATCTCTCAGATTATTAAACTTCTGGTGGTGCATTTAGTTTACCACTTCCCGTCCTTCGATATCTGTCAGATTCGAGTCTTGCATCAGTTTCTAACTCGTTAGTTCTTGTAACATAAATACCTGTAAACTTATGTGTATGGTCCATTTGTAGCCCTACCTACTGAGAATGAGAAGCCTCCAGCTGTGCGAGAGAGAAAGGGGAGTGTGTTAATCTCTTTTAGAGGTGATCATACTTCGACAGGGAGAACTTAACCATCACGAGCCTGCCAATACTTGTGTGCGTACGTGCACCGGGCAAAGTGAATGACTCATTGACTAATGTGACACTGAGTGTGATTTGCCTTCTCCTTGAATTTTCCATCTGCATTTTTTGTGTGCGCTCTAAAGCGTTTCAACCCTTTCCTCTATCCTGCCTACTCGCTTGTCTCCATTATAGCAGCTGCTACTAAGACTAGTGAGGCTACGTTATCCCGTAATTTGTTGTTAAGTTACCACCAATTTGTTTAAGTGGATGTCTAAAAAAACTAATCTCTCTCCCGGTCTCACTGTTTCCATCTCTATTACTACTCATCGTCGGTCTTGTTAACACATTCAAAAATTGTGCTTGCTACAATTCTATTATTTTAAAAGTTAATAACATTTATGAGATATCTTGTAACTAGGCTGCCCCTTCTCTATGATTTAAGCTTTGTGGTATACAAAACCTTAATGATAACTCTGTTTGTGTGTGTACGTGTGCGTTGGATTAACTCCGAGCTTTTATTGAATCTTGATATGGTAATATTTCGAAATAATAGTGAATGATACTACAATTATATTATATGAGTTTCTAGACCTCTTTAGCACATTCACAAATCCTTTAGGAAATAAATATTAAAACGGCTGAAGTTTGACTTGAGTAAGGGGTAGGGAATCCACTTTTTTTCCTCATTTTCTCAGACAGACATTATAGATTACATATTTATCCTATATTTTTCTTCTTCTTACAATATCTCTTCTTTGTAAAATTTCCTTTAGCGTTTCAACGAATTCGTAGAGTACTATAATGAACCACGAAAGAACGCTTCAATCTCCAAGCTTAATCAGAATCGTCTCAGTATGGAGGTAAATGAATTTGTGAGACGTGTACTCCTATCCCATCAAAACCTCAGTCACTTGAAGGAACACTCAATGAAACTTCCAGACTTTTCCGTTTTCTCCAAAACTGAAATAGGTGAGTTTTGAGAGTGTAACTTCCTCTTTTTTGATATCATTTTGTTGGACTTAATTTCCTTTTGGTTACCTAGAAGTTAGTTACCTTTAAATATGCTAGGTGTGACAAAGAATGCCTTTTAATTTTATTTCCCCCCCCTACTTTCCCTGGCATTCAGAGCTGAACAAAACACGCGATTTTTCATGTATTGAAGTATTATCCTGAGACTTGTATTCTTCCAATGACTTGATTTTAACGCGTTTAACGTTTAGTGCACGTTGAAACCTTGGTACAGCCATTTACCTATGTTCAAATTAATAGTGGATTGATATAAGGATAGAGGCTTCATTGATTTATTATCGTGTTGTAGATGTCCAGTCATTAGTAACCTTTTGCCTCATTGACATTTCTGTTTCCGACTTCTAATCGAAACACGATATAGCGTAAACACGCGACTTACATATGGAGGTAAATAGTAATTAGACCCAACTGTAATTTAAAAAAATCTCAATTTTTCTTTATACTAGCCACTGTAATCAGTTTACAGAAAGTCCAATGAATTATAAAGCCGACGAGAAATGAAAATTTGGAGAGCAGTATTAAGTTATCGAAGGTGGCATGTTATTTTTGAAATTATTGTGTAAAATATTTACCAAAATTCAAATTCCATGCCTCATCCTTCATGACTGCAGTAAATATGTCTTTGTTGCCTAGGTTTTTTACCAAGAAGGATATGTATTTCCACTTATTCCAATGGTTGGAAAAATATACTGGCTTCATATGGTTTTAACGGCATAGAGACATGAGACGGGTAAAAGTTTTAAGTTACCTGAGCTCCAAGAGCTGTTTACCCAAGGCGCTCGATCTTCTATCGATATGGTAACAAGGCTTGATGAGGGACAAATAAAATTTCTTCCTGTCATTTTGCTATTTTGAAGATACAGCTGAATCAACCTACAACTATGCTCCCTCTTCACCTGATATCATTCCCACTTTTCTGGTTCTCCCACTTCGCACCTATATGCGGATCGCGGCATTAAAAAATCGATTGGATTTAGGATGGAAATCTCTTCCTCCTTGTCACATGGGCAACCCTATGCGTCTAACTAAGACAACTAGTGCTCAGAAGGATCCAACTGAGAACACCATGACTTGGGCCGAATGGACAGGTGTAAAAGATGCTCTCACTTTACCTCCTGACGTTGTTTCCAAAATTATTAACTGTGATAAATCACTGGAGGTGAGAATCGTCTTTATCCGACGGACATCAGGGGACTGTGGGAAGGCTATCTCACAAGTAATCCAGGAGTGCCAACTTGAACGTAAGTTCCTAATTTTAAGAATTCCTTTTGTCGGCCATAGCTAGAGAAGTAGGTACAATTAGTTGTTATGCTTAATTTAAATGGGGATGATTCATTTCTCCGAACCCCTTTTGGCGAGCTCCAGACTTCAGAGAAAGTCATTGTCCCTCTCTCCAAATTTTGAACAGACATTTTTTATTTACTGCTACGCTACTACTGCTTGTTTTTCAACCGTGATTAGAATATAACCAGGTGCTTGCTTTAACACGAATCGCTTTGAGATCGCTTGCATACATTTCTGTGACTCTAGTGTTGAATTGCCATTTCGCTCTTTTTTATAGCTGCAAGGATTCGACGCACAAACAGTAAAGACTCTGAGGATTACAAATTCTTAAAAGTGAAACAGCTAGTTCTTACTGACAAGGTTAAGGAATTTTTCATCGCCGACGCAGACACCATTCCTCGTAAATCCCTTAAGTTCCAAGAGGTTTGGTCCCGCGATATTGATTCTAATCCCTATATTATGAATCTCAACGCAAAAGCCCTATCATCTATACGCTCTGTTAAACCCACGATAAATGAGTTATTCGGAGATTTAGGCACCAAGAAAACAACTGTAAATGGAGATGCTAATATCACCACTCCCAACACTACTAACAACAATGCACCGCGAAGGAATGGTGTTGGTGAACAACTACCAGAACCGCAGCTCTATCAGCGACCCTCTAGACTACATGTGCCTCCTCAACGTCTGCAAATGGCTGATACCGACTTGCTAAGAGCAATTCATAAGGTAATGATTAAATTGCCCTTAAAATGATCCTTTGGATATTAAAATGTGAAATAAGCCCAGTCACTCAAAGTTAAAGGAACTATTTTAGTCATACTCATCACGGGGACTGCTTGAATAGTTTCATATATGTTTCCAAACTCGTTTTAGCCCCAATTTGTTAATCGAATTGTACACTTTAGACTCTAATCTCGAATGCACAAATTTTACGTTAAGTTGGGCATATCAGAAGAATATGTTTACTGGAATTCAGAAGGCTTCGCTTTTGAGAAGACTTTACAAAGTTATATTACGATCATCATCATCATCATCATTATCTGATACTGAAATGTGAAACACTGCGGTAGTTGTCGTCTATTTTTAGAGTAGCTTTTCTCCAATTTTATCCATGCATAAGGGGCAGTCAATCGCAAGCGCCTTGAGGAATATCTTAATTAGGTGCACGATAGCTATGTACAAAAATGGCAGCAGTGATGATAATTCTCTTCAATTCAGATTATCTCATCTTAGCAGCTTCGGAAGGGAAGCTACAAATCGAAAATGCAATCATCACTTCAGATAATCATTCGTGCTTAATAAGGCTTCTTATAATAATCACTTCCTCTCTTATGTTCGCACTTAATTTTATTAACTTTACACTTTTTATATAGAGCTTGGTGGAAAAGAATTCTGTAAATGGGAAGGAGATGTCTCCGGTGGCCAAAGCTCGAAATAGACGACAAAAAACTGCCGCTAATGAGTCCCTAAAGCAAGCCGGCATAAAGGCATGCTTTATTTAATTCATTGATTTACACTACTGATATTTTAAAAGTAGAATGTTAATATATGTTTTTTTACATTTCCAGCGAACTCATTCTGATGCGGAGTTGTTGCGACTCTGCCAACAAGCTATTGGACCAGAAGTGGAGCACAATCATTCAAATGGACGACATCGACCTTCTTCCCCCTCTGCAACCTCTGATTCGGCCTTGAGTACTAAAATTTCGAGGAAAAGCGGTGTTAAACGAAAACAATCGTATGAACAATCTTCTGATAATAAGACCAGCACAAGTAAGTCCACGTCCTTTAAATTTTGGGGTGTCCATTTATCTAGGAAATTCTACTAACATGGTTGTATTTTTAGAGAGAAGAAAAGTGGAAGAACAAAAATTGCTTACTAAGGGAACAATAACAACAGCGCCCAAATGTGGAGATTCTAAGGCGAAAAGCGGACTTTCTTCATGGGCATATGCGAAGCAAAGACAATCCATTAAGATAACTTCCAAAATGCCAAATTCGAATCCAATAACTCTTGAAGCAAATGACCCCTACGCACTACCCTCATCCCCTATAGATGCCAATAATAATATCGGCTTATCACAAAATCATAGTCTTTCCCTGCCTTCAAAGAAAGCCGAACGTTCTCCTTCACCGGAGCCTCCTGTTTTGGTTCCTGAAGGAAAGCTAGATGACGGCAGTTTGTAAGTGGCTGAATCTGATTTTGTCGTTTTCTTCGTTATAACAAATACGGAGCTAGATCAAAGGCACCATGGCGTGATCTAGATCGTCGTTATTATAGAAACCACTTAACGATAGTCATACAACGAGTCAAGCAGTGTCTATGGGTGTGTGAACAGTACATGTGTCACCAAAGGAAGCGTTATCCAATCACTTTTATACTGGGTCAGGTTAATGTAAAAGGCATAAAGTGTGTAGAAGCATGAAAGATAAAGATGTGGACCGAGATTTATAAGGAGTACAGCTGGGGAGAAGAGACTACTATCATTCCTGCATGTCTACGATTCTCTGACTCAGTAAGGTAGTTTCATACTGATCCATTTTGCGCTCTAGTCTGTGTGCTTCTGTTAGGGCAACTAGGTTACAGGCCTACTTCTAGTTCTCAAGTAGTAACGGTCTTAGTAGCTTATAGTATGGAAAGAGAGCGGGACAAGTAAAAAGTTGTAGGCACACAACGGAGCTCAATATCAACATATTATTAGCCATCCTACTCTCTATGCTACCGAATTTAACGTTCAAAGAGTGCTCATATTTCAGAGTTTACATCTAGCCTATAACAACTATTGTTTCTTTGTATTCCTTATAGTGAACGTCTGGGTGATGGAAATAGAAATGACTGTGATTCCGAGGCTAACAAGAAGAAGCAGGAGGAGAAGATGAATGGTGAAGGTATTCCCTCACCGGTTTTGGATAATCATCGAAACAATGAGGCTTGTGATGATACAACCTCTTCTCCCCCGACATTGTCGAGGTATTCATCAAGTACGGAGCAATCGATAACGAACGGAGGAAAAGCACACCTGACGTATTTGAATTCTCAACCGGTACGTAATGTCTTATTTTTACCCAAAAATGAGTAGAAGGAACTGCTTCTCTAATCGTTATTCGAATGATTGAGCATAATTATTACTATTATTACTATAGTAGGAAGTTAATCGTGTGATTTTGAATAGGGAGAAGGAGGCGTAGATATTGCTTAAAATAACTCTTATACTAGAAAAGTCTCCCCAAGAGTTGACTTAGGCTGGAATCAAATGAATTTCTTAAGAATAATGACGTAAATTCTTTTATGAGAAAGAATAAAACGATGTGTTAGAAAACAGTATATTCTACAGCTAGAATCAACTGAAGGTGAAAGTTTAAGAAGGAACTAACCGAAAAGAGTACTTAGTGGGAGCTTCCTCTGAAAGCTACGTTATCATTCATTTCGTTGACTTCATGTTGGCGTTATTTGTGTACTGGCACTTTTTTGACGAGAAAGTTAAATAAATGCTGAAATTCGTCTGAAATGACCAGCTGTTAATGCTGGTAAATTTCTTCTTAGAAAGGGTGTAAAGTCCTATTCGTCTTTCTTAGCGGAATGGTTGATGGTACTTTTCTTCAATAGATTTCAAATTTATTGCAGCTTTTATTGTGATTACAAGTTTTCTTATTCTTTTAGGTGAGTAACTGCCCATCTAATGGGCTACCGCCGTATGCACTTAGTCGTTCCTCTACTCTTCAACCAAATCTCATTCAGTCCACTCAACCTCCTCTTCCCGCGAAATTTCCCTCTCAACCTCCTGCAGTGTCCTCTTCTCTTTCATTCCAAATGGTAGGCAAGCTTTTTATTGTTTTTTTGCAAATGCAATAATAATGAATGGATCTATATGCATTAATGGACCTGTGGCATTATGTTTTACATTGTTCTGACCTCTATATATTAGAAAAACTTCAAATGCTATATGCGGATGGATAGTTTAGCGACGCATTCTTGCTTTTTCAATCACCAGTTGTTGTGACCAAGGAATGGCATTTGAGAGAAGTCTTCTAAAAGAAAATTAGCTCTCAACAATTGTTGCCGAATGTGGCTTCAAGATGTTTACACTGTACTTGAAAATTAAGCACTTAGATTGTAAACTTTTACTGTCATTTGTTTAGACTTACTAATTTATCTATGAATGCATATATTTGTGGTCTTTGCACGAAAATTTTTCGGTAAATAGGTTAACAGAACCTGTGTAAAAGGTATGTTGATACACAAAGGTGATTTCTAACAGTAATAACCCGTTTATATGTTTTAATGCTTTATCAACCATTATTTATTTCATATAGCCGGTCGATGCTCCTCAGGTAGCGAATAGTTCAATCAATAGTAACGATTCCCCAGGCCAACGGCAATCAGCTGCTGTACATAATCCAAATACACCGTTTCAACCTCCGCACAGCCTCTGGAATGGTAAGTCATCGTTATCCAATGCAGGGCAAAAGCCGTGCAGTATTTTATCGCGAAGAAGGAGAGGAAACCGGTCAAAAATGTAGCTTTGGGTGGGGGGGGGGGGGGGGGGGGAGGGATTTGAAAAGATGTAAGACAAGAATCCGAAATCGAGAATCGAAACTTAATGTGTAGTTCACATTCTACAATTCATATTCCATGTTTCTTCACCCAGATTACTGCACAAATTCTTGTCCACAGTGATCAGTTTGCTTGCTTAATGTCCTAGTTATGATTGATTATTTTTACATTTAGGAAGCAGAATCATCTGGTATAGATCAAGTTAGTTTGTAGCAGAGCTCCGTTCAGCATAATCTTATTTGGCCTTTTTATGATAATTTTAAGCTTTCTCCATATTTGACAAAGAGATAGACTTAAATACTACCCTTTTGTCACATTGCAGGTGTCTTGTATCATAGTGGTGGTAGTAGTAGTAGTCAACCGGCAACAATGTGGACACTTAGAGAAACACCCTTACCAGCTCCCGACAATAACAGTAGTGTCACTGAAAGCATTCCTCATTTATTCACTCCGACGGTCGCTTTCCCTATGACTTTCCTCTCCCCTGGATCTATTGTGCCAATTCCTACGCCTACTCCCTTAATTACACCAACTATTGCCCTGACAACCCAATCACCCCAACTTACGAGTACTTTAAATACCGCCTCGCTCACTCCCGAAATGGCTACATTTCTCAATTACTACGCATCTTTCATTTCTGCCGCTGGTCTGCTCAATCCTGGTCAATCCCCAAATAATGACCAATCTCCCATAACACTACATTCCGAATCTTTTTCCATGCCTCTTCCTCCTCCCCCGACTGTTGCCAATACCAGGCCGTGGAATAGTAGCAATCAACAAAGAGGTGGTCTTTTGTAAATGTTATACTCACTTTAATCTCCCCTTCTATTTATGTGTATACATGAATGTACAGATAGTTAACAGTGATAACTCTTACCTACTCCATTTGCGCTGTGTTTATTAGTATGATTTTTACAATGAAATAGTATACAACACGAAAATCAAAAGTGCAGTACTTCTTTTTTGTAATGGATGGTTGTCGGCATTTTTTCTCTTCCAGTTGTATATTAAAGCTGTTGATTAAATTGATATTCGGTTTGGTTGGAAATTTGTGACTTTTCAAGAAGTTGGCATGTTACTTACAAAGTTGCACATCTTTACCAAAAACTTATTCAAATTTTGCAAGGTAATTTAAATCTGGTTTTTGAATTCTATTCGGTCGATGCGACTGTGGTTAATGTGGAGGTCTGATAAATGAGGGTCATGGGACCGGGCCTCATCGGTGACCAATCGAATCTTTTAATCTTAGCGAGAGGATGCAGTTGAATACGAGTTCATCGCAAAAGCTTCTCCAGAACACTGTCCCCCTAACAAAATTCAAGTGTTCTGCCTACCTACCATAATAGGTAGACGGAAACTGAATTTCTTCTATAGATTAAAGGGCCACGAGATCTGTGAAGCCTAACTTTCCTGTTTTGGCTAATTTCAAATTGAATTGGCAAATTTGTACAGTTTTAGAACAATGGTAACATTCTATTAGGTTTCAACTAGCCTTAATTCAATAAATAGGTCATGCTTAGGCACTCAATTTAAGAATGCCAACCTTTCAATCAACTCATAGCATCGCAGGCACTTGATGGTATTTATCCTCTTCAAAGTAGTAATGAGTGCTAGGCTTTTGCATAATTTGATAATTTAAAAAACATCAGTAATTTTATTCGTTTGAATGGGGGTGTGCGATAGACTTACCTCCACGTGGTGCACCCTGGGCAACGTATACTCATACGACAAAAAAGTCTATAAAACGGCAGTTGACTTCTCACTTCAAACTACCATGACCCAACTGTATGTCATATTCAACCACTTCCACAGTACTCACCTCTCTACCTTTGTGTCCGTCGCTTTTACATCAGCGAATCACTCTTCCGTTCAACCTCCCTCTAGGTTTTGTGAATTTGATGTTCTTCTCTGTGAAGCCCGAAGGGCTAATAACAGCTATCATAAAGACTGACATTAGATATTAAAAAATGACGCGGAAGATGAGAAATTTTGAAAAAAGTGTAGTACCTCTCATATTGATCATCAGGTAACGAATCCCTCACTATTTTATCGATTAAATTTTTGCTAGATACAGACGTCCATGATTTCGCGTCCAGAACCCTACGCTAACAGTACAAAGCGTCAGCGATTCTCTGCATGCCATGGAATTGATCTTAGAAGACAATCTTCACCAAAATGAGTGGTCTTAAAAAGAGTCTTGGAAATGATGCTTATGAAAAAGATTGTAAAAATATATACGCTAGACAATAAACTGAACTAACATGGAATGAATGGATTCACACTCTCTTCTAATCACGTAGATATAAAAGTGAAAGTAATATGCATTAAGATGTACTTTTGTCACCTTCCTAAGTACTGGTAGTGGGATAAAACGTTCGCTAAGGCGCCTAGAACCTGCTACAATATAGATTAGTGTCGATTTTAAATGAGGCGAAAAGCATCGCATCGTTTTCGTTGTTTCCAATTCTACCCTAAAATGAGGACGCAAATAAAAAAATCATTTTGACTAACCCCATAAGAGGCAGCTAAACGTCCTAATGTGAGCATCAATGTTCTCGATATTTAATTAAATTTACTCTGTTCTATTGATGCACATGGATATAAAAACAACAAACAGCTTCAAAACAGCCCGGTATCAGTAATATTTGCCAAAATTAAGGCCCCTAGTAACATTGAATAAGATGGAAAACTCAGGATGACAGAAAAAGTAAAGTGGAATGTTTGGTCAACTCAAATGGCCGGGAGTGCAAACGGAAATACTATTGGGTGCTCTGTAGGCCATCGAATGTACTCAGTTGTGAGTGTATCTTCGGGAGACAATGAGGTGAATAGGCGATAGAGTTTGTGATAAGAGATGGCATTGAGGATAAGAACTTTATAAAAGGACTTGAAACAAATTCAGGTTGGAGGGGAGGCTGTGATATGGCAAGGAGGTACCGAGTAGTTGCCTCTTTTTTTTTTCATTTAAAGTTTAGTAATGAAATGATTTCAGCGGCATTGATGGGGAAAGAGCCCAACTTTAATAACCGCAAATGCATAAGAGTCATTTGATTGGTGTTATAAGATTAGTGATAAGTAAATAAATACCTGAATACAAGTCGAATTGGAATCATTTCAAATTTTTTTAAATTAGAGGCACTCTACTCGAATCATCCTAGATTAAGAAAAACGGAATTTGAAATTTGCGATGACGTCAAATTTGGGCATAAATAAGAGGCACTTTAGAGGTGGAGGAAGATGCTGTCTCACAGTAAGCAGTGGGAGGAGGAGCTAAATTTTAGACAATATTTGCGAAAACAACAAATAATTGCATGGAGGAAAAGTGATATACGCGATTCTAACCCATTTTGAGAAGCTACTAGTTGTCGACCAAATTAGAACCCTCGCAATTGATATAATAGCCGATAAGAGAGCGAGTGATAAGTTGAAGAGCAAAGGGCTGGTGATCTTGACGAGAGAGTGATCACCTTCTGTCACCCTGTGGAAAGCAAACCTTTAAAAGATTCTTAATAACTGATTTCCGGGTCAAGTTTTACAAGTTCACGAATTGGTTCAAGACCCGCAAAGTATAGTCCGAACTATGAAAAATAAATAAAAAAACAAAGCTCATCTTAACCAGAGTAGAGAGTAAAATTTGAAAATTCAGTACTTAGGTTTAGTAATGAATTAACTAAGCACATGGAAAACTACCCTAGCTCATTAAGCGAATTTTAAGAAACAGCTGACTGGGGTAAAGAGAAGTCGTCCTAAGGTCACCCGAATTGCTCTTCCTATGATTTCACGCCAGGGGTGTGCAATAGACTTTCGTCCACGTGGTGCAGCCAGGGCAACGTATACTCATGCGGCAAAAAAGTCTATTAACTGGCGGTTGACTTCTGACTTCATACTACCATCACCCAACTCTATGGCACATTCGGCCACTTTCACAGTACTCATCTTACCTTTTCTCTGCATTGCGTCTGTCTCTTTTACATCTGTAAATCTCTCTTCTGTCCCCCCGCCTCCCTCTTGACTTTTTTCACTTTGACGTTCCTTCTTCACTGTGAATGTTGAAGTCAACTAAAAGGCTAATGTTAACTAACAAAACGGCTGCCAATTGAAATAAACAATGATTTCATGCCAAATGTCAATCATTCCCCTCTAAAGAACTAAAATCACTGATCATTCTAACTTTGTCGATTGAATCACCACGCATGAAACTAACAGGATATAAGTTCACTGTCCACATTACACTCTCTGTCGTTTCTGAACATCCTGTTGCCATGGTGAAGTGGTAGAAAATGTATGGGTAGCTAAGGCCTAAAAGTGGACCTAGCTGTTAATCTCTTCTAAAGGCCGTCCATACCGCTGGAAGTGTGCCATTGAGAATCGATAAGAAAGTTGAATCCTAGTTTACATTATGGACAGAATATGTGCAAAAAACTGATAACAGTACTTTTTGAGCGGCCTGTGCAATCATACCAGGTTTAACACTGGGGACACCCTGGACGTAGAAAAGCTTTATAATTTGCCACTATGATAAACGTGCTGCGTATTACCTGATTCAATGAGGGATTGAATCGATTCTCAAGCGAGTGCTTTGAACGCTGAGAAAAAAAAATAATTAAGCTGATAGTTCAATTCAAGTTTCAATTCCAATGGTATTATATTGAAGCAATAAAATCTCACGGAACAATTATATTATAGAAAGGGGTGGGGGGATAAGAACTCGATCGAAAATGGAAAAATGCGAAAACTGGAAGAACGGACGTAGGATGAAACACAACGACGACACTGACGCCCATACTTAACGCATTTTATATTTGTACAACTTGTCTGAGGACGACAATTCTCCATTAAAATGAACCTGGATAGATATATCCAAGTCGCGCTGTAAAACAGAATATATCAAAATGAAAAAATGGTGATATAACATCAAGTAGGCAGGAGGAATGGTAAACTCACGTTATTACGGCTATTAGGAGCAATTGAGATAATACCTCTAATATCCTCGTTTTTCTTCACAGTCAGGCATTCATCTCCATCGCCAGAGTCCAAATAAAACACTGTCTGTTTCCAATGAGTGTATCTCCGTTCATCAGGTCCAGTAGAGAACCCAATATATTTGTGGGATGAAGAAAAATTGATGTTGAAGAAAGTGACTAGGGCGTGTACGTAATCATTGCGTTTGCAGGTCAATTGGAATGGAGACGAGAAAGTCAAATCGTCCACGGTGATCGTGTACATATCAACATCTTTAATGACGACACAGTTTGACACGATTTGATTAGGGTCAACTACATCGACCAATGGTTCTGTTAAGGCCACTTTGCGAATGCAACTCATATCGAAGCCGTAAACATTATCCCACCCTTAAAACGAAAATAAGAATAACCAGAATTTTGCCAGAATAGGATAAAAGCATTTCAGAAGCACAAACACTTACAGTTAATTTTATCATCCTTATACTGCCTATCTTCAATTGCACAGATGTAAAGGGAGGCTTGGTCGGGCATAATGATTCCACCAGGAGCCAACCACTTATCACGAGCATAGATAACAGTGTTAAGCATGGACTCGTAGAATAAACAGTAACCCATCCATTCACTAATAATAATATCGACTTTTTCCATCCCTTCTGGCAGGGAAACTTCTTCCACTTTGCCCTTGATTAGGGTGATTTCTGAAAGCACAAAGTAAAAACTTAACTCAGTCAACTTACTGTGAGACATTCCATTAGCTTTGACCACTTCCTTAGCATGATCGATAATGTTTGAACACTCAATCTATAACGAGAACTAAGAAAATATATTTGGTCTTACCCCAATGACATGTTTTGCTCCTGCCTTGGCAGCAAACAAACACAAAATACCAGTGCCACAGCCAACATCAAGGACGATTTTATCCTTAACAAGATGCTTATTATGCAGGAGTGCGTTTCTGTAGGTAACTGTTCTGGTCTCGTCCTTCAACATTTCCTGAATTATGGCATTTTAAATTGAACGAGACAAAGATACCTCATGGATTCCAAAATGGGCATAAGAATCAAAATAATAGTCCTTAGAAGTCATTTCATTGACTGGGACTTTCGCAACATCACCGGCACCATTACTGTCCTGACTCATGCTGTTCAATAATAAAAACGGTGTGGCTTTCAGATACGGCTCTTTACCAAAATGGTTCAAGCACTAAAGTTATAAGGTCCACAAGTCAAGTAAATTAAAATTTCAGTTTTTTTCTGGTAAGTTAAATGTGAAAAATTAAAATTTTAAGAGCCGATATTTACTTTGCAATGACTAATTTTAAACGTATTCAGAATCCAATGGTTAATTGAAACTACGAAGTAATCATTCTGGAATAAAAAGACCCCTTTCTTTTCGTAACATTTATATTCGCAAAAGGTTCAAAAGTTAAGTTTATACTTAATATTAGTTAATGGGAGAATTTAGTAATAATAATAGTAGTAGTAATAAATCTTCAGTAACAAATATATGTGCTACTCCCATTTAAATCTTTAACTGTTAAGACCTATAACAATATCACAGTGACGGTTTTAAAAGGACTATTCCTTCTTAGTGCTTAGTGTCTGGTTTAGAATATTTATGAAGTCATCATTTTCTAGCACAGGAAAGCCGATTCAAGTGAGATAAAACAAGTATATAAAATATTCTTTGTCATTCGCTTAAAATAGTGGTCTCGGTGTATAAAATAATAAGCCATGAAATTAGACGAAAGCTAAACTTAACAATTGATAATAAAATTTGAATACGTTAAATTATACAATTATATGCCTTTGATTTGCTTGAAAACTTCATAAACGCCTTTGATTATGTACAGACGTTTCTATGAACTGTTTTCAAGTTCATAAGAAATCTAAAAATATTAAACTTCATTGATCATGCCTTAAAATTTATGACAAAACACATGTTTGAAATGATGCCCCAAACAAAATTTATATTTTGTTTAAATTGGCATTTATGTTTGTGGCGTTTTTGGATTTGCGAAATGCCGAAGTGAGATTTTGATTTGTAAACTCTTTGGTTATTTAATGACTTTAGGTATTATTGTGATTATTGCGATAAGTTTCTCACCCACGATTCACCGTCAGTTCGTAAAACTCATTGCACTGGTCGAACTCACAAAAATAGTGTCCGAGAATACTATCAGAAATGGCTTGAGGAACAGGTTCAGAAATTGGTCGATCACGCTTGTAGGTTACTCTCACACTTATCACGCTTACCCTTATTTTTTAGCTGAAGCATACAGACAGGGAAAAGTGCCGCCACCAATATTTGGTGGAGCTATGGCCATTCCTCCTCCAGGAATGCCCGGACTGCCACCTGTTGGAACCTTTCCTCCTCCACCTTTTACTCAAATGGTACCAGCACCTGGGATGCCAGGAATGAGGCCTCCTCTAGGTCCACAGGGAGTCGCTATGCCTGGTGTTGGTATACCTCCGCAAGGAATTATGCCTGGAATTCCCCCAGTTGGCGCTTGGGGAGCTCCACCTAGACCTGGTGCCGTACCAACAGGATTGCCAGCAACTGCGGGAATGATACCACAGCAACTGCAGCAACCGAGACCTCCTATTTGATGGAAATCCTTTATTTTAAACTGGTCATTGTTTATTCCGCTTATTGCAATTCAAGTATGTTTCGTATGTTTTGGATTTTATGTCCTTTACTGTCAAGTATATCACATGGGTAATCTTAATAGGTAGTTGTTTCTTATGCTTAATGACATCTAGCCAATGTGGAAGGGAAAAATCCTATATGAAAATGCATGTTATTTATAGATCGAAGGTGTGGCCAAGATTTGTCATACTGAAGCTTTTATTGGACTTCTGCGCGGAGTCACGTAATATTCTGTACTTCCCACCTTTAAATTTGATTTTAATGTCTTTCTGTATTCGTGCGACATCTCTTATCTTGTCGTCTTCATAATGTTTTCAATCTGTCTCCTAACCTGAACGGAATATTTATCAGCCCAGGTTACCCTATGCTAAGTTTTGCGTTAGAGGTTGGAATTGTCTACTATGTGCAATGCAGGCAGCAACTGTTCTTAGGGATTTTTACTGCGATCATCGAGACCCTGTTCTTATTTCCTTTGCTAATTATGGATGAGTCGGTCGCTAAAACTCGATTTTGTTTGAGTAGCAAACAAGTGAAAAAAGTGAAAAAAAGAGGAGGAAAAGGAGGTAGAAAATGCCAGTTGTAAGCAAATGTAAACGGGGCTTTGAAGTGGGTCAAAGTTGACAATGGAAACATATCCATTAGATAGAACCTCTGAGGCTTTCAATGTTTTTTAGTCACTTGTGGTAAAGAGTTAGGGAAGCTCATTAATACTTCAAGAGTATTTTTGCACTTCTGTAACTTCTTGTTTTCCGGAAACGCTTAAATAGTTTACAAAGCGTATATATTGGCCAACTTACGGAAACGCGATTTAATCAATGAGCTAATAGCTGCTTTAATGAAATAACTTTAGTACTTTATGATCTAAGGCGTTTGTGAGTGCGCATTGAAACAAAAGATGAAATTGTTTTAACGCATTAATATCAATTTATTGTTTGCATCTCGTCTGCTCATTTTGGTTTGCAGATTTACTACTACTCAGTGTCCTTAGTTATATTCTGCAATTATCTTTTAAGCCATCAGATCTGAAGTGGAACGAGAAGGAAGGGTTACGCGAATTCATCGCCACAGCAAACAATCAGCACACCAGGAAAGTTTTAGTTTTGATTGCCATTTCTACAATGGCTTTAACTGTGACTCGTCTCTAAGAACGTGCATACCAACCCTAAAAAAAGCACTGCTATGACACTATTAGCGTAAATACTGTTTCCCAAGCAACAACCAACTTGAAGTCAGGGAGACATTGATTGTCTTGAAGTTTATTAAAGCTAATAGCGGTTGAAACAGCACTTATTTGGATATCGGCCTTTATGTTGACAACGGATTCAGTGATAATCTATTGAAACAGCAACAGATAAAGTGTGAATATGAGTCAAATTTACGAGTCCCACCAATCAACTCTCTTCGTCTAACCAAATTTTGCACCTATTGATAAAACTATGTTAGGATTGATTTAAGCTACCTTTGTAGCTTCAGAATGAGAATTTAGTGTGCATAGTCCAGCACTACAAATAAACGAACATTTTGTATTTTAATGTACAGAGAGTTAGTGCGTTTAGAGCAGTTATTTAGAGGCGGGGTCATCCAGAAGGAGACCTTGTGATAGCCATTCCTCAATTCAAGCCACAGCAGAGCAATCAAGACTGCGGGAATTTTGAAATAATTTCAATTGCAGTGTGGTGTTAGCTAGGACGGAAGCCTAAATGAAGATATGTAATCGGAAGGATTCTTGTAGATATAGATTTTAACTCACGTCTTCCTTGGTTTAGTAGTTTGCGACTCTCATTGCAGTTATGTCCCCATTACTTATAAAAACTTTGCCTCAGTTTGAAGACATTTAGGAAGTGATTCGGTTTCAAGGCAATTGGTGGAAATCGTTAAACTTCAAAAGCAATGATTTATGTTCAGCTACATCTTCTTAATTCCATCCACTTCAGATTCATCTATTTTCGGTAGAAAGTGGCGGTGACACTGGCCTTCAGAATGGCAGGGCAATCAGTTCTTATGGAAGAGTGCTAAATACCAGTTAGTAATATATTTCCCCATGAAATATTTTTTTATTCAATCCCTTTATTGATTTTATTTACACCATGGTTGCAAATGGCGCATACTATAAACTGAACTGTTGATACTAAAATGCGGGTCTAATTCTATCATAGTAGTTGGGACAGCTACATTATGTTACCATTCGGATTGTACATGAAATCAGTTAAATTATTCTATCTAGAAGAACAGACCGTTGGATGACACTAGCTTATTATAATTTCTCCAGGAGAGATATGAAAATGTAATTTCCAAAATGTCATCTAATATTGTCAATCCCATAAAAAATGTGCTTACGAAATTGAGCATTTTCAAATCCTGAGGAAAGAGTTCTTGGCTAAATTGAAGACAATAGAGCTACCTTCTCAAACGTCGGAACAGCTAGTGCTATAAAAGCCAATTGTAGTTAGTGATTACAGCCAGCTATTGCTAAAGATATTATTAATGGCATTTTTATTTTAGATGCATGTGGGGACAATTATGCCGCAAAAGTGCAAAATCTTCAGCTGATGATGATACATAGGCAAACATAAAATTTCATAAGAAGTATCGTGGTATAAATTGTACACTTAAGTCAAAATACCACTGAAATATTTGAACGTAGCCATAGTTATTTAATAAACCTTAGGAAATATTTGACCAAATAATAACCTTTTGGCAATTTATCAAATTCTCCTAATCTCATTCAATTATTTTCCCAATTCACCATTTTATCAACCACGATCCTAATACTGACATCGAGTATAGGGTACGTAGTAATTTTCACAAACGTTCAAAACATTTTGGATGATGAAATTTAATCAGAAAATCATGATTCATTCATTAAAACATTAACGAAAGCGATTATTGATTATAAAATTAATATTTTAATAATAATTGATAGCGTATACCTGAAGAAGTATAAACACTGAGAACTTGGACGAATTTTCTTATAATTACTTGATAATATAGCTACTCCTTGATTATTAGATGCAGCAATTGTATAAAGATACAACAATAATAAGGAGGCATGCATAAAATGCGAAGGCTTATGGAATAATCTCAAAGTAGAAGAAACAATAAATTACAGATGGAATAAATTGGATTTAAATTGTAGACATCATCGAAACGAGCATTTCCTTTTGTTTGCACAAAATCTGAAATTCAATTTAAAAGCATTTATGAATAATTTTGCAAGCCAATAAAGAGCGCTTATATGGTCGTAGCTTCCCCATTGAAATAATAAGTTATAACTTACTTAAATATGGAAATAGTTTTCAGCCCGTTGTGGTTTCTGAACTCAATCAAATTCCCATGTTCAGCAGAACTGGAACTTAATGAAAATTTTAAAATATTATTCAATTTTTTTCCAGTGCAAGATATAAACAGCCGATAGCATTCAGAAGACCAGCAGAATAAATTGAAACGCTTTCTAGACGAGTTAACTGCAGATTACACTATCACTTATAATCACCTTAAATAATGACTAAATCATATTGATGAAACTATATCACTACCGGATGATATTGAATGAGAAATCGAAAATTATTAGAGTTCTGATTCATAATAGCCCACCCATTCGTAAATATCAATAGGCAAAAGATGGGACGTAGTCAGTCAAATTTCTTAAAATAGATAAAGTCGACAGGCATTTATACTACTCCAGGATCAACCAACGGGTGCCATTTATATAACTAGTGGTATGAAAATATTCAAGCCAATCACGTGGTTCTGAAATAGTCTACTGATCATTAACTATAAGCTATCCACTCAAAACCCTCCAATGTATTTAAACAGGAAAGGGCATTTTTTGCTGAAGATTCATGAAATTCATTATATTTCGTGAGAAAGGAACAGTCTTTAAGACTATGAAATCCAAACAGCAGTGATGATAAATCAGGACAAGGGAATACATTAAAATTGGACAGAGAATTAAAAGACTTAGCATTGACAAGTATGTAACTTCGAATAATTTCTCATCGGAATAAAAAGCAAGTAACCACGGCCGTTAGCGTCAAATTCGAATACTTAAAGACCAAAAAAACTAAAAGAACTAAATTTCTCCATAGACTCACGATTATTTCTAACATAAATAAAACTCATGAAATATTATCTGATTTCATAAAGATATCCAATCTCTTAGCAAAATAATATACAAAACAAAATACGCCATTTATGAGTGCAAAAATATATTTCTTCACCTAGCATTTTTTGCCAAACATCGTTTATGCCAACGAGTTTTGTGGATTAATGCGTCAAAATCCTGAAAAATAAAACATTAACTTGAAAACACAAATAATCCTGAAACATTAAGAATTTTGGCATTTTAATAATTAAAGAAATTATTTACCGGTTAGAGGGCATTTATATCAATTGAAAGATTTGACCCTGTTCCCTTGTCCTTGGGTTGTGGGCGCGTCGGTTGATCTTCTCCCTTAGATTTCCCCTGTACAGGCACTATGGAAGCACTTGATATGATCGAATATGAAAAATTCATGGAGTCATCAAGCAAAACAACTGTAATTAAACGACATCCTTTTATCGATGATAGATTAAAATAGATAAATATACGATTAATATGTATGATTTCGGGCCTAAAGAGATTTCATGTCCAGTAATCTGTTTACCGCCGATAACTTGCGACGCATCAATATTTTATAAAATTCAAACTTTTTTATCAGCCGAAAAATTTCGGATAATAATGGTAAGTGGGGTATTCCTATTTACCTTTAGATGAATTATCCTGAGACGTATACCACTGACGCATTTTGCGAAGTATTTCTGAAACTTCTCGATGAGTTGCATTTAGTAGCCGTTCATATCGTTGGCGCTTCCTTCGGTGGATTTCTAGCTCAAAAAATTTGTGAATTTTGCGCCGCCTCTCATGGTCGCGTAAAATCTTTAATCCTTTGCAACACATATATTGATACATATGGCTTCGGTACTCGCTATTCTGCTAAAATGTGAGTCATAATATTTAAATTATTTGTAAGACCCATATTTGGGCCTTTTTATTTTCATTATAACTTTCTTCTCTAGCCTTTGGTTATTGCCTTTACCTATGCTTCGTATGACATTTGAATATCCTCACGTTTCCGATGATGCTGACGATGAGATAAGGAATGCATCAAAGTTAGCAAGATTTCAGGTTGTTTTTCATTTCAAAATTTCTTCTTAGGTATCATCTTTCTATCGATGTTATAGGTTATTATATTATATTATATTATATTAGTATAATTCAGAGATCAGGAAGCCAAATTATTACGTGTTTTTAGTTTAGTTGCAATTATTCCGTAAATGTAACCAGCATTCAATAATATACAATTTGTTAATTTTTGTGCTCAATGCATATACTTATTTTTACCCTTTTATAAATATATATTTTCTACTTTCTCCTAATACTCTAGTGCAATAAGATGTCTCAAGGTGAACTGGCATCACGTCTAACAATGGCTTCTCGTACAAATTTTGTAGCGACAGAAAAACTGCAGAAATCAGACATCACAATTATTGAGGTTTGTTGTTGTTTAAACATCTTGCAAGCTTTTTTGGAATACGAATTCCACTTTTAATTTAGTGCTTGAACGGATAAAAGCAATTAGGCCTGGTTTTTTATAATATGCAAGTTCATGAATTGATTTGTCGCACAAAAGGAAAATAAAATTACAATTTGCTGTTTTTTCCATGAATGATGATGAATTTACTTGTGCGCATTAAGTTAATTAATTTTCATTTTTTAAGTGAATCCCTCTTTGCAACATTATTTTTCATAAAATATTTATTTATGTCAAATGGTAGGTGTTTTGATAGTTACCATTAGACCTTTAGCTGTCTTCGGGCTACACAGAGAGGAGAGGGAACATTAAAGTGACAATAGTCGAGAGGGGGTACAGAATAATGATCGACAGATGTAAAAGGGATAGACAGACGCAAATGCTAAAAAAAGGTATGATGAGTACTGTGAAAGGGGCCGAATTTTACATACAGTGGGGTGATAGTAATTTGTAGTCAGAGGTCAACTGTCGGTTAATAGACTTTTTTGCCGTATGAGTATACGTTGCCCAGTGTGTACCACGTGGAGGTGGGCCTATCGCACACCCCATTTTTCGTAAAGTATAGTTTGGTCTCAAAAATAGCTAAGCAAATCCAGTGTTTTTCTATTTGATACATTTTTTAATTAAAGCGGTCATTTTTCTTTAATAGTGTCGATTTGTTTGTAACAAATGACAACGATGTCTCCTATTTGTTCCATATTTTTTGTTTACTTCGAGTTTGTTAGTGTTCTTCTAAGGCAAATTTGAGTCTGACCTATCGAATAAGATGGGTGGGGGAAGGGGTGCTATGTTTGGAATAATCATTGATGTAAAATATTATGCATTTATAATGTTCTCAAGTAAATAATTTAATTTTTCCTTATTTCATTTTGTAGCAGAAATTAAAATGTGAAAATAGAAGACTTGGAATCTAAAAAAATATGATATTTTTGTTAAATCTATTCTTCGTTGATCTTATTTCGATTTACGATGCTTTCGTCTTGATTTTTTTAGTTAACAGCTGTCAAAACTTTACTATGGGTTATTATTGATGTGAGCCTCTCACAATTCAATTCTATTAATTTTGGCAGTACACTCCTAGAATTACACAAGTTCGTTTGATTGAGTAATTAAATCTAATCTTTTCACCATGGGTATTGAGCAACATGCAGAAATCGGTTACGTTCGTCTCCTATTTTTCTTCCTGAAAGAGACGTTTGAGTAAAGAATTACTTTCTTTTCACTGGTGTTTTTGATAAGTTTGTCCAGACGCACTTAGTTTTAAATCCTAGCTATCTTATCAAGAGTAAATGACTCTTACTCATTCCCTTCAATAATGGAATGCAATCCAAATATATTAAGTAAATAATGGCGATTTTATTTAATAAAAATGTTTTTTTAATGCTTTCTAATTCTACACACGGCTTATAAAGGGGATAACGGGCTAAGAAGCTCTCCTATGTAAACCGATATCGATAGGTGTAGTTTTTAGTTGTATACACGCGGTTTCTATTGGTTGGTGTTAATTAGTTGAGCTTTAGAAATTTAACAGCACTGGTGTATTTTGCTCAAATTATAGGTCAGTGATGTAGAGACTACTTATATGCAACAATATAGCAGTGTCCATCAAGCCTACCCCGAGGCTAAGGTCGCCAGTCTTGATACTGGAGGTCATTTCCCCTTCCTCAGTCGTTATGATGAATTCGCAACCTATATGAAGGTCAGTATAAGTTGCCAATCATTTTCCTCATTTAATAGGGACTATTTAAACAATTAACATTATAATCAACCGTAATCTCAATTATCGCGGATAACAAACTAATATTTACGTGAAATTATGAAGAACAATGTCAAAGAAATTATTTTTAATGTTATTATTATTATTTTCAGATGCATTACGATGCTTATGTGGGGACTCCGTTCTCACCATCTCTTTCGGATGAGTCTTAGCTCAAGAATTGAATGTGAGTCAGAGGTTCTACAACATTACTCCGAGTTTTGGCAATAGATTGATTTATTTTGTACTAATTTCAAGCACAACAGTTGCTATTGACTTATTTACTTATGATCTAACAATTATATTATGTATTATTGTGCACAAAATATGCTATAATGCGAAACAAATATGTTCCTTTTTTATTTTTATTGGACGGGGAAATTTTTGCTTTCATAAATTATTACTAATAAATCTGTTAAATTAGGGTGATAAATCATTCTGAAGACTTAATTCGGGTTGTGGGATCCGAGCTTGTGATGCATATGCCAAATAAATTCTTTTACAAGTAAAAGCATTTGTTTATATATGAGAAGGAGTTATCTGAGTATTCCTGTGAATACCCTGAAGGGTTAACACGTGAAATGCGGCTAGAAGTTAAAGGCGTTGCTCAAAGAATTAACTGGGTGCTTTAAAAAACGCTTTATTTTGTAGGCAACTGTTTTATTGACCTCCATGGATATAATACCCTGAAAAATGTGTGTGCGTCATCGTATGCCTGCATGTCTGCTCGCCAGGATTGGGAGGTGCAACTCTGTGTGCAGCGACCGTATAAATATTGACCAATCATTAACCTCTGTTTAACCTAATCCCCCATGTGATCAATCATCAACCTCTGTTTAACCTAATCCCCCATCCTGATCTGAGGTGAATAGCTCGCGTATACACACTTGATCCGCAATATACTTGCTGAATAAACGTGCACCGTGCTACACGTCTGTTTCCTTTATACCTGGGCTATATCTTAGCTGGTTCTGGGAGTCTAGCTAGATGTTGGAGAATCTGCTATAGAGATTTCTGAGTCGGTCAGGCTTTACTTAGGTAGCAATCCTCTACAGGATAATGGCACGTACACAGCAAATATTTAGGGGAGTAATTTTGTAAAATGGAAAGTCCATTTGAGAATTTGACACCAGTTTTTTCAGGCTTTGGGAGAGCACGTGACCTTGAGATCTGCGTAAAATTTCTTCATAATGTTGAATCGATCTGTGCTTGGTCTGCCGTAACGTAACGGTGCTATTCTTGAGCTTTTTAAAGTCTGTAAATTCTTATATAGTGTCCTTAAATTAAAAAATATATGAATAAAATTATAAATAATATCGAATGCCATACAAATATATTATGTCATCATTGGCTTTCGCGTGAAAAGATATATTTTGAAAGCTGTATTCCTAGAGAACAGGTAGTGGAAGAATTAATCGACTTTGTCGTGCCAAGATTGCAACATGTGGTCCCCTTACCCTAAAAGTAATTGACTAAGTGGAATAGTGGAGAAAATTATTCGAAATTATGCCAATTTCCGTATGAATACAGAAACACGTGGGTCTGAAAATGTATTTGCTTTTAATTTTTTTGTTACACAAGCCACCACAAAATATGCCAACTCCTTAAAGGCTATTTCATGTTCTAAAGAAATGGTTTTCAACCCCACCAATGTCAGGGGAATTGTAAATGCATCAACCACGCCGTGACGTGACTGGGGCAACATTTCCCATTGAGAAGCTGCCGGTGCGAGTAAATTTGTCCAATTATATGGCTACTTCATTTCCTGATTTTCATGATTGGTTAAAGGAGTTATATTCACGATAGGCTCGTGGATATATCACTGGCGTCAATACCAAAAGCTTTTATGGTACTGAGCAAATCAATTTGAGCAATGATCGAAATAGTCGGAATTCTGAGCAACATCCTCACTAGAATAATCATTTATAAAAATTAAGTTGTCCCAAAGTAAAATACAAGTTCTATTCTTTAAACCGGTCGCATTACTGAAAAAAAATTTACCTAAATATTATTAAAATTCAAAGGTCGGCAAAATTTCATTTCCGAAAATCAAAATTTATTTGAATGAAATTAGCTTATGCGGTTGACGTAATTACCTATGTGATTAGTGAGATTCACCATTGGTCATTTAGAGGCATAAAACCTTACCAAGTTTAACTCTAGTATTCGCGTTATACTCATTTGGGTGTCCACGAATCGAATATATTTGACAACTCCACATCTCTACAGGGATAACTAGGCTCATTAAGTAGGGACATTAATCCAATTATTAAAAATTTTATAAATAAGAAACGTGAGACGAATCAACATAATCCTGGCATTGAATGGAATTGCGAATGGTACCAAGCAATTCAGAGATCATATTTATTTATTTCAAATGGCCGGCGTTTTGATAGTTGTCATTAGCCCTTTAGTTGACTTCGGGCTTCACAGAACATTAAAGTGGGAAAAATTCGACCGGGGGAAAAGAAGAACGATTCACAGATTTAAAAGAGACAGACAGACACAAAGGCAGAGAAAAGGCTAGATG